CTGAGGAGATATGACATTCAAAAAGATACTTCTAAGACCGATGTCCAAGAGCATACTGCCTCCATTTTCCTCCAGTTTTATGGTTTCAGGTCTTACATTCAAGTCTTTTATCCATTTTGAGTTAATTTTTGTGTATGGTGTAAGATAATGGTCTACTTTCATTCTTTTGCATGTGGCCACCCAGTTTTCCCAACACCATTTCTTTTCTTTCTCCATTGTATGTTCTTGGCTCCTTTGTTGAAAATTAGCTGTCCACAGATGTGTGGGTTTATTTCTGGGCTCTCAATTCTGTTCCATTGATCTATGTGTCTGTTTTTCCGCCAATATCATGCTTTTTTGATTACTATAGCTTTGTAGTATATTTTTAAATCAGACAGTGTGCTACCTCCAGCTTTGTTCTTTTTCTCAGGATTGCTTTGGCTCTTTGGGGTCTTTTGTTGTTCCACATAAATTTTAGGATTCTGTGATCTATTTCCATGAAAAATTTCAGTGGGGTTCTGATTGGGATTTCAATGAATCTGTAGATGGCTTTAGGTAATATGGACATTTTAAGTAGCTTAATTCCTCCAACCCAAGAATAGAGTCTGCTGGTCCGTTCTTGATAGTGGCAGCGCCAGGCACTTCCGTGTCCTCTCCCAGCCCACCACCTACACTCTATTTCTCATAGGAAGAATTTTACCCTCTCTGCCTAGGGTCTTAGTGAATCTGGAGTTTTCCTGCACCTCTGGAGCACTGGTATCCTGGGAGCGACTTTGCTTTGCAAACAAACCAGTGAGCTGCCTGGGCACTGCTTCGTGTCTTTACCTGCCAGCTCCATAGCCCAGGGGTTGGGTCTGGTACCCTCACTGCCTGCCTCACTGCAAATGGATTCCTGGTAAAAACTGGAGGGTCTGAGGTGTCTCTATATTTCTAAAGTGAAATATAGGCTGTCAGGAGGCGGCCTCTGCCTTACCATCCTAATTTCAGTCACCAAGAAGCTGCCAGTTTTGCCACTTTTTTATCACCCCTTCCCCTCCACTGTAGGACTTATTATTTCATATTTGTCCCACTCTCCTTAGGGAAAGGGTCACAATGCCTCCATAAACGAGTGAAGTGTACCAGGTGAGAACTGCAGCAAAATGATGATCTTAAGCTCCAACTAAAGACGGCCTCCCATCCTACCCCTGCTGATTATAGTTGTATCTAAATGAGGCCTGCTGCGGCCAGATCTGTCAATTTGTCAAGAACACAGAAATCCAAATTTTTAAGTAAAATTTCCTAATTTATAAAATTTGGCTCAATTTTTTTTAATTAATAAAAAAAATTCAGACTAAATAAAACTTATTTGTAGGCCAAATTTAACTCAAGGACCACCATTGTGATCTACCAGGATCTGTGCAACTAATCTCCTACTCTCCCAGCAGCAGTCTGCATTCTGCTATAGTGGGCTCATACCAACCATTCTGACATAGCAATGCACAAAGACCAAAAGAAAATACTGAACAAATTTGAAAATAGATATAGATATATAGAACCCTAACTTTACAAACACATAAGAGATAGTGCTACTTTGGTGTCTCAGGTGGAATCCTACGAAGTATACATGTGGACCCATCAGGAGGCATTGTGGTCACTTCCTAAAGAAGTCATTCTCCAATGATCAAATCTGAGTTCCAGTTTTTCTTTTTTCTTTTTTTTTTTGTATTTTTTATTTATTTATTTATTTATTTAATTTTTTGTTTATTGCAGTAACATTGGTTTATAACATTGTAAAAATTTCAGGTGTACATCATTGTACTTCTATTTCTGCATAGATTACATCATGTTCACCACCCAAATACTAATTACAACCCATCACCACACACATGTGCCGAATTATCCCTTTCACCCTCCTCCCTCCCCCCTTCCCCTCTGGTAACCACCAATCCAATCTCTGTCCCTATGTGTTTGTTTATTGTTGTTATTATCTACTACTTAATGAAGGAAATCATACGGTATTTGACCTTCTTCCTCTGACTTATTTCACTTTGCATTATACCCTCAATGTCCATCCATGATGTCACAAATGGCTGGATTTCATCATTTCTTATGGCTGAGTAGTATTCCATTGTGTATATATACCACAGCTTCTTTATCCATTCGTCCCTTGATGGGCACTTAGGTTGCTTCCAAGTCTTGGCTATTGTGAATAACGCTGCAATGAACACAGGGGTGCATGTACCTTTACAAATTGGTGTTTTCAAGTTCTTTGGATAAATACCCAGCAGTGGGATGGCTGGATCATATGGTAGTTCTATCCTTGATTTTTTGAGGAATCTCCATACTGTTTTCCATAGTGGCTGCACCAGTTTGCACTCCCACCAGCAGTGTATGAGAGTTCCCTTCTCTCCACATCCTCTCCAACACATGTTGTTTCCTGTCTTGTTAATTATAGCCATTCTGACGGGCGTCAGGTGATATCTCATTGTAGTTTTGATTTGCATTTCCCTGATAATTAGTGATGTTGAACATCTTTTCATGTGCCTGTTGGCCATCTGTATATCTTCTTTGGAGAAATGTCTGTTCAGGTCCTTTGCCCATTTTTTAATTGGGTTGGTAGTTTTTTTGTTGGTAAGATGCATGAGTTCTTTATATATTTTGGAGATTAAGCCCTTATCAGAAGTATGGTTTGCAAATATCTTCTCCCAATTGTTAGGTTGTCTTTTCGTTTTGTTGATGGTTTCCTTTGCTGTGCAGAAGCTTTTTAGTTTGATGTAGTCCCATTTGTTTATTTTTTCTATTGTTTCTCTTGCCCGGTCAGACGTGGTGTTTGAGAACATGTTGCTAAGACTGATGTCGAAGAGCGTACTGCCTATGTTTTCTTCTAGAAGTTTCACAGTTTCAGGTCTTACATTCAAGTCTTTAATCCATTTGGAGTTAATTTTTGTGTATGGTGTAAGGTAAGGGTCTACTTTCATTTTTTTGCATATGGCTATCCAGTTTTCCCAACACCATTTGTTGAAGAGACTTTCTTTTCCCCATTGTATGTTCTTGGCTCCTTTGTCAAAGATTAGCTGTCCATAGATGTGTGGGTTTATTTCTGGGCTTTCGATTCTATTCCATTGATCTGTGTGTCTGTTTTTGTGCCAGTACCATGCTGTTTTGGTTACTACAGCTTTGTAGTATATTTTGAAATCAGGGAGTGTGATACCTCCAGCTTTGTTCTTTTTTCTCAGGATTCCTTTAGCTATTCGGGGTCTTTTGTTGTTCCATATAAATTTTAGGATTCTTTGTTCTATTTCTGTCCAGTTTTTCTTGTTTGAAATGGTCTTTGATACTGGTATGATGAAACATTGAAGCATTTATCTAAAGAAATCCAAATCAATACAAAATACTTACACCTAAAAGATTTAGGTTTCAGAGTAATGTTGTAGAGTTCATTCCATCCAACATTCACTCATTCACTCATGGATGGCAACTGAGTACTTGGAATGGGACAAACCCTGGCTGTAATCTTTATTTCCATGCACCATTTTACTTGAGTAGTTTAAATACAATCTCTCTTATTTCATTCTCCTGCTAACCAAACCAAAGCGGATTTCTAGGATTTCTAAGTTGATCCCTCATGGCAGACTCAGGTCATTTATGCAAAATGTGGTATTAGTCATTGTGACAATATAGAATTCCTGCTAAAGTAGGTGAATTTTATTCTATTTTCCAGGTACCAGGCATTGTTCAAAGGTAATAGTATGGCCATTAAGATTTTTTTCCTTTCAAAAAGAAAAAAATCAAATGATGAGTACTTTGACATCCAGATTTGCATACGTCACACAACTGTCTACCCTAGATATGTTAATGAGTGTTAGGAGTGATTAAACTTGAATTTGTAGTCTGTGGAAGGAAAGGTAACTCTAGGTAGGTATCCAGTAGAATAGGCAATATATAAAAAATTAACATTATATATAATATACATATTTATGCATATAAAATATATATTTGTGTGTGTGTATATATACAGACACATACTTGAAAGAAGCAAGAAATTATACTAAAACTCTGCTGGTGATTGCTTACATGGCATATCCACATTTTCTTTATTAATTATCATTTATCCACTCACAAAGTTTATAGTCTTTTCCATATTTTGCTAATCAAGAGTTGGAAGCTGTGCTAAATTAGTATTTATCATGAAATGCTATTTCATGAATTTATTTTTTAAAGAAAAATAATGAAAGTAAATTTAGCCTAGTCTGACCAAATAATTAAACCCATTCTCGGAAGAAATAAAAGTTCAAATGCACCTCAAAGATCAACTGAACCAAAAGATCAAAAGAATCTGCTATTTATGTAACCGTGGGTAACCTACTTAAACCTTTGTGGGTCTCTGTTTGGTCGTCTGTAAAACAGGAAGGTGAGTCAAAACAACTGCTAAGATTTCTTCTAAATCTAACACTAGACGATTGGACTTTCCCATCAAACCCCTCAAGTTTCACTAAGCTTCTGTTTGCATTTCTGCTATCCAATACACTCAAAAAATATTATCTTGAGTAAGGAAAAACACTATGCTGAATAAATAACACAGTGCAGCTAGCCACCATAGATAAATCAAAGTCTATAAACAGACACACTCCCCCAAACACACACACACACACACACACACACACACACACACACACCCCATTATTATAGGGCCAGTATTGCCCAAACTTCAGCCATTTGAAGTATCACGTCAAATCTGAGTACCACCTATATCTTTATCACTTAAAAGTGGAACTTAAATTAGCCCACTTTTTAAAAATTAGCCACACCCTAAGCAATCATAAGCTTGATTATGCTAGCTTTATGCATTTTTCCAATAAAAATTTAAATAAATACACAGTCCATAAATATAATGAAATAAAATAAAATTCCACCAAGTACCATCTAGAATTGTGTTGTATAGTGGTACACATACTAAACTTTGGAAAGCACCAGAGTAGCTTATGAAAAGAAGGATATATACACACTGGTCTAGAGTATAAGATTTTATTTTTAAAGGAACCTACTATAGTAACATTTCCACTGCATTTATTAGGATAGAAAATCATCAACTGTTACATCCATTATTAGAAAATCTGATTCCATACATTATTTTAAAAGGGGACAATAGGACCACCAGTTAATGGGTAGAGTTTTTGTTTTACATATGAATTAGCATAAATCCCACTCTCGTCATGCCAAGTGTTGATGCCAAATCTTTTGCAACCATTTAGATCTGTGAACTGAGAACGACATTTTCTGTGGACTATTGAATAATCATCTTGACAAGGATAATCCTATGGGGAGGGGAGAAAAGAGAAATAATATTGAATGGCTGAGATATATGAAAAGGAGTGATTTACAAAAGTTGATCTTCAATGTGTTAGTATTATCATGATCCAAGTTTAATTTTCAAACAATTGATTAATTTAACCTTTCAAATTACAAATGCTTCAATGAAAAAAATAGCTATTGCATTTATAAGTACTTCTAATTCTGAAAGGAGAATCTACTTCATGGTTGTTTTATTTATAAAAGTAAAAAGATAAATTATTTTACATGTAAAATTTTTTTAAACCATAAATATACAGCATAAAGAACAACCTAAACTTTATGATCATCTACATAAGACCAAAACAATTACAATTTACCTATCACTCCATACATTTTTTTAAATTAATGTTATAATCATTCCAAAGAATAATATCTTCAGTTATATCTCTAACAATTGGTATCAAGTCATACTAGCCAATAAATACCAAGCTGAAAGATTCATTCCTATGAGAAACTTACCTCAGTCTAACCCAATATAATGTTTAAGGTATTTATCCTTAAAGCACTTCATAAAAGCTTCTATTGCAATAAAACAAGACACTATCACTGACCATTTCCCAAAGGAAATATTGATTCTTTCAGATTACATCAAGGGTAATGGCAGACAAGGAACATAAAGCCCTTGAACTGATTATCTAATTTCTGCTTTAAATTGGTACTAATTTTAAAGCACTAAGACAATATTGAAATCACCCAAACTATAAAACAATGAAAGAACACCAAAATAGTTCTGATCTTAGGTTGACTTTATTGAAAATAATTGAAAAATTTAACCATATGTTCAACCATAACAATCATTATAGTATCTATTTATTTACTGAGTGCCTATTATGGGGTGGGCAAGCTGGCTGAGTATTTATATCTTTTAATCCATAACAGGGCTCTGATGTAGGGATTACTACTTCCACTTTACATACAAGAAAAGATCATTTGCTTAAAATCTCAGGAGAGAATTTAAAGAATGGTGATATTAAGTAACTCAGCCAGGACTCCAAACTAGTTGTCTGACTGTAAGACCCATTATCCCTCCAGGACCATCATGAAATTCTTAATAATTAAGAGATGAAAAGAAATATAAACAATAAAATCCTAAATCTACATAATATCTGTGTCACTTTCTATATAGTTTGGGCTTTTGCTTTTTGTTGTTGGGTTCTATTTCTTTTGGGGTTTGTGTGTGTGTTTGTTTTTGGTCACGTAGAGGCCCTTTAAATGAGATTTGAGCATCACTGACCCAAACTGCCCCCCAGAGGGAGACAGGATCTGCTCATTCTTACCCCAGCCCCAGTCAAACTGAAGAGAGCTTCAAATGTAAGGTCAACGTGTTCCTTTAGCATCTCCTAGGCAGAAAGGATGACTTATTTTGATGAGGTGAGTGACGAGATTAAATATGATGTTTTAGGAAAAGGATTCTGGCAGCAGAAGTTACTAAAGACTGAATGAAGGTAGAAAGGACTGGATTCCAGAACTGTGAGTAGAATTGCATCTCAACAACTCATATGTCGTCAGTTGATAGACAGATACACAAAATGTGGTCTAACCACACAATGAAACACTATTTGGCAATAAAAGGAATAAAACACTGATAGACGCTATAGCATAGAGGAACCTTGAAAACATCATGCTAAGTGAAAGAAGCTAAACCAAAAGACCACACATTGTATGGAAATGTCCAAAATAGGTAAGTCCACAGAGACAGAAAGTAACTTTTCAAGGGAATGGGCGAGGCGGAGGAATAAGGAGTGACTGTTAATGGGTGTGACGGCTAATTTTATGTGTCAACTTGACTGGATTACGGGGCACTTAGATATTTGGCTAAACATTATTTCTGGGCTGTGTCTGTGAGAGTATTTCCAATGAAATTAGCATTTGAATTGTTGGACTCATAAAGCAGTTTGCCCTCCCCAATGTGGGTGGGCATTTTCAATCCACTGAGGGCCTGAATAGAAGAAAAAGGCAGAGGAAGGAAGAATTTGGCCCCTTCCTGCCTGATTGCTTGAGCTGAGATATTAATCTTATCCTGCTCTTGGTACTCCTGTTTCTCAGGCCTTCAGACTTGGACTGAATTACAGCACCGGCTTTCCTGGGTCTCCAGCTTGCAGACAGCAGATTGTGGGACTTCTCAGCCTCCATATTGTGTGAGCCAATTCTTTATAATAAATCTCTTTCCACATATATATATATATATCCTATTGGATACAATACAAAGGGTATGGAGTTTCTTTTTGGGGTGATGAAAATGTTGTGAAATTGGTTGTGGTGGTGATTGTATGACCCCATGGATATACTAAAAATCACTGAATTGTACACTTTAAAAGGGTGAATTTTTATGGCATGTGAATTATACCTCAGTAAAGCTGCTATTTTTTTTTTAAAGCGGCTAAATAGGAGTAATTCTGAAGTTAGGAAAACTGGTTGAGATTGTTGCCTATTAACACACATAAAATTGAGTGCCTTCCATTATCAGAGGTGTATTGGTAAACCAGCTCTCCCCCCACTAAAAAAAATCCCCACATAACTTATTTGTAAAATCTTCGAATTTCTGTGGCATAGATTTTCCCACTATGACTGACTTCTAGCTACCAAAGGGAGGTCAGTGAACATTGAATTGGGAAGACATGAGCATAATCAGCTCACGCAAACTTTGAGACATGACTCCAGCTCACCCTGATTCCACTTCTTCCATTTCCCATCGTGTAGCAGCCATGCAATTTAGGTAGACTGACCCACTCCCAGCTCTAGGGGCAGAATTTAACTGGCCTAAGACAATCAGGATAATCTCACTCTACTCTCAATGATGGTGATTGATTCCGGGTCGGGCATGTGACTTGAGTTTATCCAAACAAAGTTAAGCCCAAGACTTTTGTTCAATGGTTTAGGGGAAAGAAACATTTCTTCCACTATTGGACATAAAGGAGGGAACACCTAGCCCAGGTTGCTACTGGCAGCCCTCCTACAACCAGTCTAGCATGAAACCAATGCCATAAAAGGCAGATCTGAGAGTCAATAAGTAGTATGATGACATTGCTGTTTCAATCCTTTCCTGAAGCCTGACTTTTCAGAAAATGTGTGCCAATAAATTGCTTTTATTGTCTGATCTGGCTTGAGTTGGGTTTTGTACAACCTACTAGAAGCATCCTAACTAATGTGTACCTGAATAATCTGCAATATTGGAACACTGAGATACTGAGAGTCAGAGCAAGGAAATAAGTCAAAACCAAGGGAGCAGGGCAAATATAAATAGTAGGAGTAAAGGCAAACAGTAAATTTGTGACTAAGCATATAATCAGGAATCAGAAGCATGCAAATATGGAATAGGTGAACAAAGCAGGTTTTCAAAAAGAAGAACAAACTATTAGGAACCTGCAGGATATAATTATTATAAGAAAGCAGAGGAAGTATGTTGTTCAAAGTTTAATACAAAAGGCATGAAATAGAACAGAAGAAAGCAGTTGCACTAAGAACCAACTTAAAGGACCTTGATATTGACTGCGGCTCAGACCCAAAGCCAAACTGAGATGGTGGGAGGCTTGGACGAGCAAGTAATTTAGTGTACCACCCAAACTAAGTATACAGGGGGTAATCATTTCAAAATTATTAGTAGTTTTCCCCTTTCGGTGTGGGTAACCACCAATTTGCCCAAGGGGAGATCAAAATTTGTTTCAGAAAAAATGGCAAGCAAAGAGTAAAGTAATATCAGCTTCTAACATGCAAAACAGGATTTTTTCCAGCAAGACAATAGCCTTGTAATCCAACTCACAATCTTGAGGACTTTAGAATATCAATGGCCAAACCTGGAAGACTCAGATCATAGAGTTCTCCAAATGTACAGAAAAAATATCCTTTGCCATTAAGGCTTAACCATGAATTGGAATGGAGAGAAGGAAGATAGGGAAGAGTCTGGGGAATTGTAGGAAGGAGAAAATAAGGGAAAAGAAGGAAGTAGGATAGCAGAAAGAGCCCAATTTTGGTATTTCCAAATTTTGCTATCCCTAGACTTTAATCAGGCAGAGTCCCTTTGACCTGGATGGAGAGAAGTGCATTAGATACATAAGAATAATGGCAGAAAGTCATAGAGGGTCTCCTGGCCCCCATCCCTCATGAGAACTCCTGAAACAGACCACCTCTCAGGCTGCACTTTCATTTGCCTGGGGCACAACCCCATGCAAGCAGGTAAAGAAGCATGGTCAGGCAGAAAGAGGCTCTGAGAATCATCAATCCTGAGCCACTTTTGATATCCTGTGCCATAGACAAGATCCTGAAGTAGCTGCAAGTCCACAGAGGGGATTGCTAACAGGGGCTGCAGAGCAGAACATTGGAGCTGGGACTGAATGGCAGTCACAGAAAGCTTCCGTGGGATCTATAGTATCTGTTGGAGTGGAAATGAGGCTGAGTCATCCCAGACATGTCATCTGGGCTCCAACTAAGCCCAGAGAATCAGGTGGAATAGGGATACCACCCAGAGACCAGAACAGGCAGAGAACACCACACAAAAAAGCCTACTCTTCTCCTCTGGCATCAGGATACTAAATCACATCCCTCTCTCCATATACCTGGACGCCATCTTAGGGAGAATTAGAGTTACTACTGCTGCATAACAGGCCAACCCATTGATAGTACATAAAACAATAACCATTTCCAGATTCTTTGGGTCAGGAATTTGGAAAGGGTACAGCAAAGACAGCATCTCACTGTTCCACAGTATCTGGGGCCTCAGCTGGGAAGACTTGAAAGCTGGAGGCAACTTGTGAGCTGGGGCTAGAAATCTCTCTCATTCCAACTGGTAGTTATGCTGGCTATCTGCTGGGACCTCAGCTAGGCTGTTGACTGGAACAACTACACAGGTCCTCTCCATGTGCCTGTTTGGGCTTCCTCATGCATGGTAACTGGATTCTAAGAACAAGGATGGCACAAAGAGAACCAGAATGTAACTGTATTGCTTTTTATTGCCTACCCTCAGAAG